ATTCTTCTACTTAAAATCACTTTTGCAGTGAGATCAGTCTGGTCATTTGGATCAACAAATCTCGATTTTTAGATATAACAATACCTCTTTTTGTTTTTTTCTCCCTCTTTTTAAAAAAATGTTACTTCTTCTGATTTAGAGTTTTGTTAACCTCAGCAAGATTGTTTCCTCTAGTTTTTAAGCAAAAACATATTGTAAAGTCTGCAATATTTTTCTAATGTGCTTTTGCCACATGTCTTTTAGGACTCATCTGTATGACCCAAATCTGTCCGGTGTTTGCAATTGCTGTACGTTTCTCAAGTATTAGTTTTGAGATTTTCCAGGCTTCCAGTGCTCTTGGTTTTACAATTTTCCTTTCTCCTTCTCTCCTTTGTACCCTTACTTCCTCTATGTATTTTTAAATTAACAGTATTTTTAACCTGTAGAACCTTTTCAGATGCCTATTTTTGGCTCTAGAATTGCAGTATTTATATCTTTAGCTCCTAAAACCTGAAGAAGTGCATTGGATGAATTCACAGTGGCTAAATTTATAAAGTGATATTTTAAACTCTCTTTAGAATGGATTATTATCAGATCAGTAATCAGTGAATAATAGCAAATGATGCAGAACCCTAAACATGTCTTGTACTTTTTTTTCTCTCTGTGCCTCAAGTATATTTATCAGGAAACATCACTGATTTCTTGTGTACAGACCCTGTCACCATAGCAGGCTACTGTGTCGTAGAACTAAACTCCATGTATTTAATTCAAAATAAACATATTTACACAATAATACTATTAGATGTTAATTTATTGTACATTAACTTTTGAGAATAGACATTTTATTAATTTAATATGGAAATAAATGAGTGTACATAAATCATAATAAACTTTGATGTATTATATATTTTAGTCTACATATCAGAATTTTTTGAATTCCATAAATATATTATGTGAAGAGTGAAATAAAACATTGGGTCCTTTTGGAGGACGGAGGGTAGGAGGAGACAGGGGATCAGGAAAAATAACTAATGGGCACTAGGTTGATACCTGGGTGACGAAATAATCTGTTACAACAAACCTCCATGATACAAGTTTACCTCTGTAACAAACCTGCACTTGTACCCCTGAACTTAAAAGTTAAAAAAAATATAAGGAACAGTTAAAAATATGTTAAAAATTAAATTACAGAGCACTTGTCATCATGCTTCTTGCTTTATTTTACTTGTGATATAATGTTAATATTTATTTTCATATATTTTCTTGGTTATTTGTACACATTATTTCATATGTGTTGGTATATATAGTTTCTCCAAACAAAAATATCAAAAAAAGTGCAATCAGATTTTGAAAGGGTAGTATCAGGGAAGTATATCCATGGGCAGAGATAGGACAATGAAAAATATTAATCAAAAGAAAAAATCATAAAGTTATGAAAAAAATTAGCAAGCAAAATGAAAGAAAATGATTTGAGGGTCCTGAATATAAAAGTATGCATTTAAACCATGATATTATAACCTAATTTCTATTATATATATATATATAGTTATGATTATAAAATATATGTATATGTTTATAGATATATAGTTATTCATATTTCTTCAATGTTTTCTAATAGAAACAAACATTGAGATTACATAGCATATATTTTAAAATAGATTTTTTCCTCAGTTACCTTCATTTATTTGTTTTATCTTACATTAAGTATACTTTTCAATTATAGCATGGCTTAGTTTGGAATGGACGTCAACAGGAACAGTTTACATGAAATCTTTGTTTGAAAAAGTCTCTATAGTTAACTCCTGAGGACATAATCAGGATAACATGACCACATCTTTTGCACAGAATTTTTGTCAAGAAAAATTTAACCACCTTGCCTCTGCATATTGTTTATTTTCTTCATGTATTTTATAGAATCAAAAAAGTGAATGTAAATATGTGTACTACAATTGTTATTTGTGGAAATAATAGAACTAAATTAATTCTCACCAATTTATTTTAGATCTACTGCCTTTGAGAAAATCATGCCTTTGTTAATTGGTTTTGATGACAGTGCTGAAAAGTACCCAGTATCTTTGATGTATTTTTTGGATTTTTAAATTCTAGCTGTACAACCAGATATAATTATGGTTCAATCATTTTTTTTCTATGTACTAATAATAGAATCTTGTGCAAATGACTGAAAATTTTTGACTTTATTTTTGTAATCGTTAAAATGAGTATAATGTCAATGTCTTAGAGCTGTTATAAAAATTAAATGAGTGGTTATACTTTCTAAATACCAGTTGCCTCAACCTGACAATCTTGTTTATGATGCAGTGTTCCGACCCAAAAAGATGAGACTAGCACATTGGAAATAAACAATAGTGGAATATTTTGAGTACTCTACTGTGATTATATAAGTAAATGGGGAAAGTGCAAGGAGGATATTGATATCTTGCTTTTCTTCAGCAGAGCTGCATTTAACATAAAGGGGAGTCATTTTATTGAATAATAAAAGTCTGACAATCACTGTGATTGGCTGACAGCCATTACTGCAGTGCAATTCTAAACAGCTTGTTTTTCAAAGTTCTTCTTGAATAAGTCTTTAAGATCCAGACATTGCCCAGCCTGGTTGAAAGGTTCAAACTCATTTTTAAAGTGAAGTTTTTCACATTTGAATACCATTGTGATATGAATAATGGAAAAGATATGCATTAAAAATAATATTTTCTTTTTAAATGTTTAGAATCTTATATTTTCAAATGGAAGAGAAAATTTGGAAAATTTAACAAACTAAGGTTTAAATCCTAGATGAAATTAATTCAGGAGTTATGGAAGAAAAAGAGATCTTATTAAAAAAAAAATAAAGTCCAACATGTTTTACAGTGAAAGCACAATATTTGATCTGCATTAGCCAGCTTAAAAGCCTGTGATCTCTGTACAGAACTCAAGGCTCCCAAAGTTACCATATCTACTTTGATGTATTCATCTCTCTCAGTCAGTATTTCTAATCAACAATCCTCCCTGGAAAGTATGTATAATAAGTCGGTGTACCGTTGGCAACGCACCAAAATAAATATTTAATGATATTTTAATGGCTATTTTAAATCTCTTTTATTTAAATTGCAGATTAAAACTTTATTTGGCCAATGAATTCTGAGCACAATATTTGAGAACCATATTTGCTACTGAAGCTCTGTGTAAAGGATGTGTACTAAATTTTCAGAATGTCGAGGTTAGATAATCACTGATGGAGGCATTTTATTTGAAACGTCAGCATTGGAAACATTGAGATAAAGATCAGGAGCAGGAATCTGTGAACTGCAGAACTGTGTTAATTGCTCATTCTCAAACATAGAGATGCCAATTAATTCCACACAACCTAGATTCAAAGCAGCACAGGGAAATGGTCCTGATGTGAGTATTGTACAAAAACGAAGAAAAATAGATGCGTTCCAGCATCCACAAAGCTGATTCTTCAACAGGCAGTAATAGAAGCCCAACGCATCCAGCGATTGGCTGATGGCATCTTTGTTCAGGCTGGGTGGAGAAATCCCTCTCTCACCCTCACCTTCAGAATCCACTGCTCAGCCACCTGGGCTCCCGCGGGGTGCGCGCTGCCTCGCTGCTGGTACACGTCTCCCCCTCTCGACCGCCAAGTGCTTGCTCCCTCCAGGCGAGCACTCACACAATGGACTCACTTGTTTCTCTTGAACCTCTCCTTTGACTTCCAGCCTCAGCCAACAACTTGAGCAAGAGTCAGGCAGGAGTCTCTGCCATGGAACACAGACCCTCGGAGCTTTCCAGACCCGCTCAGAAGCACGCGCGCACACTCAGACAAAACAAACAATGCCTGGTCCACGAATGAATAAATTAAAGACACCCACGCCCCCACCCACCGCTCCGAAACCCGCAGAAAGAAACCCTGGGTTTCCTAAATAAGAGGTATTGTTGTGTCTTTCAAACTGCAAGCATTCCCCCTTGAAGACGGCGAAGGAGAAGCTGTGCGTTCGGATGGCAGTAAAGATTGACGGTGCTTTGCCGGTGACAACGCCCCCAGCATCGCGCGGAGCCAGGTTCCCTGAGAACCCGAGGGGGAACCCAGATCTAGGGAGGAGGGAGCAGCAGAGGCAAAGACAGCTTGGCAGGGATTGGAAATGGAAAATCAGGGGGAGGAAATGAATGAGTGAATTTGGGCTTGAATAGTAAAACTTCCACGGAGAAAAGGATGGTATCTCTCCCCAGGTAACTACCTTGAGATGAAAAATACATGAAATACACAAGGAAGTGGCAAGCAACAACTTTGAGGTGAGCAGCAAGTTGTGCACCTCCTCTCAAGGCGCTGGATCAGCACCCCCTGAGCCGTCACCACCGCACACACTCCCAATCCCAGGCGGCGGCGGCAGAGGCGGCGGCAGCTGCGCGCCTCCGGCCCAACCCCGCTCGGCTCCCCCTCTCGCCGGCGCCCTGCCTGTCTTGCGTGTGCGTGTGCGTGTGCTCAGCCTCAGCGTGAGGGGCACCTGCTCGTCTGGGCTCACAGCGGAGGCAGCCTCGCCGCGAGCTGCCGCTGCCGCTGCTGCCGCCACTGGTGCTGCCGCTCGCAGGCGCCGGGCTCCGTCGCCACCGCCGCCGCCGCCGCCGCCGCCGCCGCCTCGCCAGCCAGAGTTGGGCTCCGTGGGCTTCCCCCCTCGCAGCCTCGGTCCTTCCCCGCTGCCTGCAAGTCAGCCTGGCTCCGAGTCACGTGTCAGTGCCTGAGGCAGAGACTGCGAGAAAAAAACGCTCTTCATTCCTTCTTCCACCGCCATACTGTATTTTATACTAAATCTCATTTTTATTCCAACATTTTACTCCCGCTCGGTGAGTACCTTCTCAGTGGCATTCTTGTCCTATTCTTTTTTTTTTGTCCTTTTTTTTTGGTTTTTTTTTTTTT